GAAGTCTAGGTCTTCAGCTGGCCTACACTGGTCAGGTGGAGGAGAGAGAGAGAGAGAAGCATGCAAGAGAAAGTTTCCCTGGGAGTGAGCCATTTGAGTTACCTCACAGGACCGTCCTGTTCTGAGGAAGCAATGAAAAATACATGTTGATTAAAATAAAATGCCAGAGGAAAAAATCTAGAGCTGCAAAAGAATGATGGTCATAAAGTATGATGTCATAAAGTATGATATCATAAAGTATGATGGTCTTAAAGTATGATATCATAAAGTATGATGTCATAAAGTATGATGTCATAAAGCAATAATGACAAAAATAGTTCAAAAATAAGTAAAAAGGTGAAACAACCCCCCAGAATAAGCCTTGGTGGGTTAGTGATCCAAGCAAGACAGACGGCAGGCTTCAATGACTGGTTGTATTAGTAGGACAGTGTTTCCCAACACCAGTCCTCCAGTACCGTCCGGGGCCACAATGAAAATGTGTACTGTTGGGGGATCTGGAAGACCGGAGTTGGGAAACACTGTAGTAGGAGACTGACTGTATAGACCAGGACTGCCCAACCCTGTTCCTGGAGAGCTACCCTCCTGTAGGTTTTAACTCCAACCCTGTTCCTGGAGAGCTAGCCTCCTGTAGGTTAACTCCAACCCTGTTCCTGGAGAGCTACCCTCCTGTAGGTTTTTGCTCCAACCCTAATCTAGCACACCTGATTCTAATAATTAGCAGGTTGATAAGATGAATCAGGTTAGTAACACCTGTGGTTGGAGCGAAATCCTACAGGAGGGTAGCTCTCCAGGAACAGGGTTGGGCAACCCTGGTATAGACCAAGGGTAGGCAACCCTAGTTCTGGAGTGCTGCAGGCACTTCATGTTTTTGATTTAACCGACCTGGAAGACCAGGTGTGTTTCATTTAGTCAATCACTGAACTGATCAATTATCTCAGTTGGTCAGATGGGGTGCCTAGTTGGAACAAAATCCTGCAGTACCTGCAGCACTCCAGGAACAGGGTCGTCTTCCCCTGGTCTATACTAATAATAATAATAATAATAATAATAATAATAATAATAATAATAATAATAGTGCAGGGCTGTTCAACTCAGGTCCCTGGAGCGCCGAAACACTTTTCATTAGTATCCTCTCCTTCCATCAGACTGGTTCAGACCTGGGACACCTGGTTCAGACCTGGGACACCTGGTTCAGACCTGGGACACCTGGGCAGCGTTTACACAGGCATTCCAATTCTGATCTTTTTTTTTTTACTGATTGGTCTTTGGGGACTAATCATATCAGCTCTTTTGTCCATAATTGAGCTGTCTGTGTAAACGCGGATCTGGTGAGTGAGTGTGGGACATTAACTACCAGGTAGAAACAAAACCCAGAAGTGTTTTGGGATTTCGGCCCTTCAGAACCAGAATTGACCAGCCCAGGTTTAGTGTTAGTTCTCCCCAGTGTTGGTTGTGCCAAGCAGCAGCTGCAGGGGGAGTGGTTGAATGAATGATAGCCATGCACTGGAGAGTTGGAGGAGGAGGAGGAGGAGGAGGGGGTGGAGGAGGAGGAGGAGGAGGAGGAGGAGGAGGAGGAGGAGGGGGGGGGTGGAGGAGGAGGAGGATGAGGAGGAGGATGCAGACAGATGAGACCACACCAACTCAACAGAACGTCGGGTACCTTTCTACCACAACTGGCTGAAGCACCAATACAGCAAAGCCAGGATAAGGCCGATGAAAATGGCTTGGACAGGCTGCAATATGGATGGCTAAAGGAGGGAAGGGATCAATCAATCAGAGAGAATAATCAATTGTTATAAACTCATCAAAACGAATAAATAATGGGAAAATAATCCAAATGAATAAATAAACAGAAAACTGAAGTGAAGGCCAGTTGGATTAATTTTTAAAGTCAACAGAAGAGGGGGATTGGGAGAGGGATAGGGCGGGGGGCTGGAGGGGGATAGGGCAGGGGGATGGAGGGGGATAGGGCGGGGGGCTGGAGGGGGATAGGGCACGGGGCTGGAGAGGGATAGGGCAGGGGGCTGGAGGATGATAGGGCAGGGGGATGGAGGGGGATAGGGCAGGGGGATGGAGGGGGATAGGGCGGGGGGCTGGAGGGGGATAGGGCGGGGGGCTGGAGGGGGATAGGGCAGGGGGCTGGAGGGGGATAGGGCAGGGGGCTGGAGGAAGATAGGGCAGGGGGATGGAGGGGGATAGGGCAGGGGGGGTGGAGAGGGATAGGGCAGGGGGCTGGAGAGGGATAGGGCAGGGGGCTGGAGAGGGATAGGGCAGGGGGCTGGAGGATGATAGGGCAGGGGGATGGAGGGGGATAGGGCAGGGGGATGGAGGGGGATAGGGCAGGGGGGTGGAGAGGGATAGGGCAGGGGGCTGGAGGATGATAGGGCAGGGGGATGGAGGGGGATAGGGCAGGGGGATGGAGGGGGATAGGGCAGGGGGGGTGGAGAGGGATAGGGCAGGGGGCTGGAGAGGGATAGGGCAGGGGGCTGGAGAGGGATAGGGCAGGGGGCTGGAGGATGATAGGGCAGGGGGATGGAGGGGGATAGGGCAGGGGGCTGGAGAGGGATAGGGCAGGGGGCTGGAGGATGATAGGGCAGGGGGATGGAGGGGGATAGGGCAGGGGGCTGGAGAGGGAGAGGGCAGGGGGCTGGAGAGGGAGAGGGCAGGGGGCTGCACAGGTATAGATACATGTCACACCACATCTAGAAGCTGAACACAGGTATAGATACATGTCACACCACATCTAGAAGCTGAACACAGGTATAGATACATGTCACACCACATCTAGAAGCTGAACACAGGTATAGATACATGTCACACCACATCTAGAAGCTGAACACCATAACAGTAAGACTATGGGACAGTGGAGAGAGAGGGGTTTAACACAAACACACTGGAACATACTGCGCAAACCGATTTTGAAAGCTGATCACTCTTAGGCCGGGAAGCAATTAGATCCTGCTGTGTCCACAATGCTCCATTTAAATGTCATTTCTGATAGAGCCATTTACCGTTTACTGTGAACACGGTCTCCGCAAATGCAGGAACATTTCCTTTAAATGGCGACAAAGCATGATCAGATTGAATCCCAGCCTTTGTTGATTTGATGTCCCAGGACTGAGATTGATTTGATGTCCCAGGACTGAGATTGATTTGATGTCCCAGGACTGAGATTAATTTGATGTCCCAGGACTGAGATTAATTTGATGTCCCAGGACTGAGATTGATTTGATGTCCCAGGACTGAGATTGATTTGATGTCCCAGGACTGAGATTGATTTGATGTCCCAGGACTGAGATTAATTTGATGTCCCAGGACTGAGATTAATTTGATGTCCCAGGACTGAGATTGATTTGATGTCCCAGGACTGAGATTGATTTGATGTCCCAGGACTGAGATTGATTTGATGTCCCAGGACTGAGATTGATTTGATGTCCCAGGACAGATTGATGTGTGTGTTATTTGTTAATCTTGACCAGGGCAGAGGGGTTTCTAGTAGTAGGAGCCTGGCCGGTAGTGATTAACAGCCACAGGCTGTGTTGCATCCTAAATGCATTAGGGGTTGATGTAGCATGGAACTACAGGGAGCTTCCTTCCCATTTCTTACACCAGTCCTTCCATGAGGATGTTATGAAAAGTAGCCCAAGGATATATATATATATAGCTCAGAAATAGAACAGAAACCCAAAGTTATCCATCACCACATCTGATGACAACTTCTGGCTCCTAACATAAACTACTGTAGAGGACAGAAAGGCATGAAACTGGCCTCCATCCTTTTCCAATACTCCTGTCAGTCCCTGACAGTGATGGATGTGGGCAGATCAAAGGTTGCTGAATATGTTCCCAACGTGCTGAGTAATGACTTTATCAGTCTCTTAAGAAATGACTTCTTTGCTGACTGCCAATAGCAGGAATAAACAGAACCAGCAGGTCATTACTACTGTGATGCTAATCATTGGGACTTGCAGACACGGAGCTCTGTGTGGTGCTGTTGGTAACGTTCAGCTACTTCATGGAGCTCTGTGTGGTGCTGTTGGTAACGTTCAGCTACTTCATGGAGCTCTGTGTGGTGCTGTTGGTAACGTTCAGCTACTTCATGGAGCTCTGTGTGGTGCTGTTGGTAACGTTCAGCTACTTCACGGAGCTCTGTGTGGTGCTGTTGGTAACGTTCAGCTACTTCATGGAGCTCTGTGTGGTGCTGTTGGTAACGTTCAGCTACTTCATGGAGCTCTGTGTGGTGCTGTTGGTAACGTTCAGCTACTTCACGGAGCTCTGTGTGGTGCTGTTGGTAACGTTCAGCTACTTCATGGAGCTCTGTGTGGTGCTGTTGGTAACGTTCAGCTACTTCATGGAGCTCTGTGTGGTGCTGTTGGTAACGTTCAGCTACTTCATGGAGCTCTGTGTGGTGCTGTTGGTAACGTTCACCTACTTCACGGAGCTCTGTGTGGTGCTGTTGGTAACGTTCAGCTATTTCATGGAGCTCTGTGTGGTGCTGTTGGTAACGTTCAGCTACTTCACAGAGTTCTGTGTGGTGCTGTTGGTAACGTTCAGCTACTTCACGGAGCTCTGTGTGGTGCTGTTGGTAACGTTCAGCTACTTCACGGAGCTCTGTGTGGTGCTGTTGGTAACGTTCAGCTACTTCACGGAGCTCTGTGTGGTGCTGTTGGTAACGTTCAGCTACTTCATGGAGCTCTGTGTGGTGCTGTTGGTAACGTTCAGCTACTTCACGGAGCTCTGTGTGGTGCTGTTGGTAACGTTCAGCTACTTCATGGAGCTCTGTGTGGTGCTGTTGGTAACGTTCAGCTACTTCACGGAGCTCTGTGTGGTGCTGTTGGTAACGTTCAGCTACTTCACGGAGCTCTGTGTGGTGCTGTTGGTAACGTTGAGCTAATTTGACATGTTCCTGGATCTCAAAAAGTGGGGGCCCTAAGCAAGAAGTCAAATCAGACATTTCCTTTTGCATCTTGACAACACAACAATCATCCCTTGGGATGCTGTTATCTGTAGTAAGTCTAGTAAATGAACCACAGAGAGAGAGACAGAAAAGGCCTGGTGGCTTCTGGACAGGAAATGGGGTTAGGATGTAACTACTCACATTCTTGCTCTTGTCCTGCAGCAGTTTGAGGTTGACTTTACACTGTTGCAGCTCCTCGTTGATGGAGCGTTTCTCCTGCTCTGTCCTCTCATAACGCTGCCGCAGGTCAGATAGCGAGGTCTGGGTGTCCTCATACTGGGGGGGGGGGGGGGGGGGGGGGGGGGGAAGAGAGATTCATGTGAGCAACATTCAAAAACAGGCAAACTTTGCATGCAGCCGCTGGCTGTGTGTCTGTATAGTACCCCTCTCTACAGGCTGTGTGTCTGTATAGTACCTCTCTACAGGCTGTGTGTCTGTATAGTACCTCTCTACAGGCTGTGTGTCTGTATAGTACCCCTCTCTACAGGCTGTGTGTCTGTATAGTACCCCCTCTACAGGCTGTGTGTCTGTATAGTAACCCCTCTCTACAGGCTGTGTGTCTGTATAGTACCCCCTCTACAGGCTGTGTGTCTGTATAGTACCCCTCTCTACAGGCTGTGTGTCTGTATAGTACCCCTCTACAGGCTGTGTGTCTGTATAGTACCTCTCTACAGGCTGTGTGTCTGTATAGTTACCCCCACTCTACAGGCTGTGTTCTGTATAGTACCTCTCTACAGGCTGTGTGTCTGTATAGTACCCCTCTCTACAGGCTGTGTGTCTGTTATAGTACACTCTCTACAGGCTGTGTGTCTGTATAGTACCCATCTCTACAGGCTTGTGTCTGTCGATAGTACCCTCTATCTACCGGCTCGAGTTGGTTGGATAGTACCCCTCTCTACAGGCTGTGTGTCTGTATAGTACCCCTCTCTACAGGCTGTGTGTCTGTATAGTACCCTCTCTACAGGCTGTGTGTCTGTATAGTACCCCTCTACAGGCTGTGTGTCTGTATAGTACCCTCTCTACAGGTGTGTGTCTATAGTACCCTCTCTACAGGCTGTGTGTCTGTATAGTACCCCTCTCTACAGGCTGTGTGTCTGTATAGTACCCCCTCTCTACAGGCTGTGTGTCTGTATAGTACCCCTCTCTACAGGCTGTGTGTCTGTGTATAAGTACCCTCTCTCTACAGGCTGTGTGTCTGTATAGTACCTCTCTCTACAGGCTGTGTGTCTGTATAGTACCCTCTCTACAGGCTGTGTGTCTGTATAGTAACCCTCTCTACAGGCTGTGTGTCTGTATAGTACCCCTCTCTACAGGCTGTGTGTCTGTATAGTACCCCTCTCTACAGGCTGTGTGTCTGTATAGTACCCCTCTCTACAGGCTGTGTGTCTGTATAGAACCCCTCTCTACAGGCTGTGTGTCTGTATAGTACCCCTCTCTAAGGCTGTGGTCTGTATAGTACCTCTCTCTACAGGCTGTGTGTCTGTATAGTACCCCTCTCTACAGGCTGTGTGTCTGTATAGTACCCCTCTCTACAGGCTGTGTGTCTGTATAGTACCTCTCTCTGCAGGCTGTGTGTCTGTATAGTACCTCTCTCTGCAGGCTGTGTGTCTGTATAGTTACCGCTCTCTACAGGCTGTGTGTCTGTATAGTACCTCTCTCTACAGGCTGTGTGTCTGTATAGTACCCCTCTCTACAGGCTGTGTGTCTGTATAGTACCCCTCTCTACAGGCTGTGTGTCTGTATAGTACCCCTCTCTACAGGCTGTGTGTCTGTATAGTACCTCTCTCTGCAGGCTGTGTGTCCTGCTAGCAGCCTGGGCCAGCTGTGTCTGCAGCTTGTTAGCATCCTGGAGGTGTTGGTCCTGCAGTGAGCCCAGTCTACTCTGCATCTCTCTCTGGGACTTCTCCAGACTGGCAGTCTGCTCCCTGGAACTGAGGAGGGGGAGGACAGGGGGAGGTAGGGGGGAGGTCAGGGGGAGGACAGGGGGAGGTAGGGGGGAGGACAGGGGGAGGTCAGGGGGAGGACGGGGGGAGGACAGGGGGAGGCCCGGGGGAGGCCCGGGGGAGGACGGGGGGAGGCCCGGGGGAGGACAGGGGGAGGCCAGGGGGAGGACAGGGGGAGGACAGGGGGAGGCCAGGGGGAGGACAGGGGGAGGACAGGGGGAGGCCAGGGGGAGGAAGGGGGAGGACAGGGGGAGGACAGGGGGAGGTGGTCAGCACATGTCAGCAGGATGTTTCGTAATAATAAGGTTAGTCTATTGTAGATGTTGTGTACTTCAGCTTGCTCTCAATATTTCAACTGCTCTCTCCCCCTCCTCCCCCTCCATGCTGCCCAGCCCCATGTCAGCTCCTGCATACTACTGTGGTAGAAGCCCACCCACCCAGCTAATAAGTACCTGACAGGTTATCCACCCACCCAGCTAATAAGTACCTGACAGGTTATCCACCCACCCAGCTAATAAGTACCTGACAGGTTATCCACCCACCCAGCTAATAAGCACCTGACAGGTTATCCACCCACCCAGCTAATAAGTACCTGACAGGTTATCCACCCACCCAGCTAATAAGCACCTGACAGGTTATCCACCCACCCAGCTAATAAGCACCTGACAGGTTATCCACCCACCCAGCTAATAAGTACCTGACAGGTTATCCACCCACCCAGCTAATAAGTACCTGACAGGTTATCCACAAACCCACCCAGCTAATAAGTACCTGACAGGTTATCCACAAACCCACCCAGCTAATAAGTACCTGACAGGTTATCCACCCACCCAGCTAATAAGTACCTGACAGGTTATCCACAAACCCACCCAGCTAATAAGTACCTGACAAGGTTATCCACCCACCCAGCTAATAAGTACCTGACAGGTTATCCACCCACCCAGCTAATAAGTACCTGACAGGTTATCCACAAAACCCACCCAGCTAATAAGTACCTGAAGGTTATCCACCCACCCAGCTAATAAGTACCTGACAGGTTATCCACCCACCCAGCTAATAAGTACCTGACAGGTTATCCACAAACCCACCCACCCAGCTAATAAGCACCTGACCGGCTATCCACCCACCCAGCTAATAAGTACCTGACAGGTTATCCACAAACCCACCCACCCAGCTAATAAGCACCTGACCGGTTATCCACCCACCCAGCTAATAAGTACCTGACAGGTTATCCACCCACCCAGCTAATAAGTACCTGACAGGTTATCCACCCACCCAGCTAATAAGTACCTGACAGGTTATCCACAAACCCACCCAGCTAATAAGTACCTGACAGGTTATCCACAAACCCACCCAGCTAATAAGTACCTGACAGGTTATCCACCCACCCAGCTAATAAGTACCTGACAGGTTATCCACCCACCCAGCTAATAAGTACCTGACAGGTTATCCACCCACCCAGCTAATAAGCACCTGACAGGTTATCCACCCACCCAGCTAATAAGCACCTGACAGGTTATCCACCCACCCAGCTAATAAGTACCTGACAGGTTATCCACCCCCACCCGCTATCATACCTGACAGGTTATCCACCCACCCAGCTAATAAGTACCTGACAGGTTATCCACCCACCCAGCTAATAAGCACCTGACAGGTTATCCACCCACCCAGCTAATAAGCACCTGACAGGTTATCCACAACCCACCCAGCTAATAAGTACCTGACAGGTTATCCACAAACCCCACCCAGTAATAAGTACCTGACAGGTTATCCACAAACCCACCCAGCTAATAAGTACCTGACAGGTTATCCACAAACCACCCAGCTAATAAGTACCTGACAGGTTATCCACAAAACCCACCAGCTAATAAGTACCTGACAGGTTATCCACCCACCCAGCTAATAAGTACCTGACAGGTTATCCACCCACCCAGCTAATAAGTACCTGACAGGTTATCCACAAACCCACCCAGCTAATAAGTACCTGACAGGTTATCCACCCAGCTAATAAGTACCTGACAGGTTATCCACCCACCCAGCTAATAAGTACCTGACAGGTTATCCACAAACCCACCCACCCAGCTAATAAGCACCTGACCGGTTATCCACCCACCCAGCTAATAAGTACCTGACAGGTTATCCACAAACCCACCCACCAGCAATAAGCACCTGACCGGTATCCACCCACCCAGCTAATAAGTACCTGACAGGTTATCCCCCACCCAGCTAATAAGTACCTGACAGGTTCCACCCATCCAGCTAATAAGCACCCTGACAGGTTATCCACCCACCCAGCTAATAAGTACCTGACAGGTTATCCACCCACCCAGCTAATAAGTACCTGACAGGTTATCCACAAACCCACCCAGCTAATAAGTACCTGACAGGTTATCCACAAACCCACCCAGCTAATAAGTACCTGACAGGTTATCCACAAACCCACCCAGCTAATAAGTACCTGACAGGTTATCCACAAACCCACCCAGCTAATAAGTACCTGACAGGTATCCACCCACCCAGCTAATAAGTACCTGACAGGTTATCCACCCACCCAGCTAATAAGTACCTGACAGGTATCCACAAACCACCCACCAGCTAATAAGCACTGACGGTTATCACCCACCCAGCTAATAAGTACCTGACAGGTTATCCACAAACCCACCCACCCAGCTAATAAGCACCTGACAGGTTATCCACCCACCCAGCTAATAAGTACCTGACAGGTTATCCACAAATCCACCCACCCAGCTAATAAGCACCTGACCGGTTATCCACCCACCCAGCTAATAAGTACCTGACAGGTTATCCACCCACCCAGCTAATAAGTACCGACAGGTTATCCACAAACCCACCACCCAGCTAATAAGCACCTGACCGGTTATCCACCCAACCAGTAATAAGTACCTGACAGGTTATCACCACCCAGCTAATAAGTACCTGACAGGTTATCCCACCACCAAGCTAATAAGTACTGAAGGTACACCCAACCCAGCTAATAAAGTACCTGACAGGTTATCCACCACACCAGTAATAAGTACCTGACAGGTTACCACCCACCCAGCTAATAAGTACCTGACAGGTTATCCACCACCCAAAAAAAAATAATAAAAAATAACAAAAGTACCTGACAGGTTATCCACCACCCACTAATAAGATACCTGACAGGTTATCCACCCCACCCAGCTAATAAGTAACCTGACAGGTTCTCTACCCACCCAGCTAATAAGTACCTGACAGGTTATCCACCCACCCAGCTAATAAGTACCTGACAGGTTCTCTACCCATCCACCCACCCAGCTAATAAGTACCTGACAGATTCTCTACCCATCCACCCACCCAGCTAATAAGCACCTGACAGGTTATCCACCCACCCAGCTAATAAGTACCTGACAGGTTATCCACCCACCCAGCTAATAAGCACCTGACAGGTTATCCACCCACCCAGCTAATAAGTACCTGCCAGGTTATCCACAAACCCACCCACCCAGCTAATAAGTACCTGACAGGTTATCCACCCACCCAGCTAATAAGTACCTGACAGGTTATCCACCCACCCAGCTAATAAGCACCTGACAGGTTATCCACCCACCCAGCTAATAAGTACCTGACAGGTTATCCACAAACCCACCCACCCAGCTAATAAGTACCTGACAGGTTCTCTACCCACCCACCCAGCTAATAAGTACCTGACAGGTTATCCACCCACCCAGCTAATAAGCACCTGACAGGTTATCCACCCACCCAGCTAATAAGTACCTGACAGGTTATCCACAAACCCACCCACCCAGCTAATAAGTACCTGACAGGTTCACTACCCACTCACCCAGCTAATAAGTACCTGACAGGTTACCCACCCACCCAGCTAATAAGTACCTGACAGGTTATCCACCCACCCAGCTAATAAGCACCTGACAGGTTATCCACCCACCCAGCTAATAAGTACCTGACAGGTTATCCACAAACCCACCCACCCAGCTAATAAGTACCTGACAGGTTCTCTACCCACCCACCCAGTTAATAAGTAGCTGACAGGTTCTCTACCCACCCACCCAGCTAATAAGTACCTGACAGGTTCACTACCCACTCACCCAGCTAATAAGTACCTGACAGGTTACCCACCCACCCAGCTAATAAGTACCTGACAGGTTATCCACCCACCCAGCTAATAAGTACCTGACAGGTTATCCACCCACCCAGCTAATAAGTACCTGACAGGTTATCCACCCACCCAGCTAATAAATACCTGACAGGTTAGCCACCCACACTGTACCAGGCTAGCACATCCCCCCAATAGCACTAGATTCCTCCCCCCTCCGACAGCGCTGAATGTGATGAAGGATTTCAACAGTAAGGAGTGTTGAGTGTCAGCAGAGACCTGGGGACTGACAGAGAGCAGAGACCTGGGGACTGACAGAGAGCAGAGACCTGGGGACTGACAGAGAGCAGAGACCTGGGGACTGACAGAGAGCAGAGACCTGGGGACTGACAGAGAGCAGAGACCTGGGGACTGACAGAGAGCAGAGACCTGGGGACTGACAGAGAGCAGAGACCTGGGGACTGACAGAGAGCAGAGACCTGGGGACTGACAGAGAGCAGAGACCTGGGGACTGACAGAGAGCAGAGACCTGGGGACTGACAGAGAGCAGAGACCTGGGGACTGACAGAGAGCAGAGGCCTGGGGACTGACAGAGAGCAGAGACCTGGGGACTGACAGAGAGCAGAGACCCAGTCTGCAGTAAGCCTGGTCTGCAGTAAGCCTGGTCTGCAGTAAGCCTGGTCTGCAGTAAGCCTGGTCTGCAGTAAGCCTGGTCTGCAGTAAGCCTGGTCTGCAGTAAGCCTGGTCTGCAGTAAGCCTGGTCTGCAGTAAGCCTGGTCTGCAGTATGCAAAAAGCAACACTTGGCAAACCTTACCACTGTCACTTTAGCTGGATCTTATTGCTCTGTGTTGTGGCCACAACCCTCCGCCCCACATCATATGTCTTGGTGTAACAGTGTTCAGTTGAGTCAGGGCTACCCCCCCAATGGCTGTGTCTGCAGTGTGTAGACCCACCTGTCCAGTTCAGTCTCCAGTCTGTGTAGTCTGTCCACCAGGGTAGTCTTCTCGGAACGGAGCCACTCACACTCCTGCTGCAGACTGGAGCAGTCCTTCTGAAGACGGTTCAACTCTCCTACAGAGAGACAGATTATCATTATTATAGCAGTCCTTCTGAAGACGCTCCAACTCTCCTACAGAGAGACAGATTATCATTATTATAGCAGTCCTCCTGAAGACGCTTCAACTCTCCTACAGAGAGACAGATTATCATTATTATAGCAGTCCTTCTGAAGACGGTCCCTCTCCTACAGAGAGACAGATTATCATTATTATAGCAGTCCTTCTGAAGACGCTCCAACTCTCCTACAGAGAGACAGATTATCATTATTATAGCAGTCCTCCTGAAGACGCTCCCTCTCCTACAGAGAGACAGATTATCATTATTATAGCAGTCCTCCTGAAGACGCTCCAACTCTCCTACAGAGAGACAGATTATCATTATTATAGCAGTCCTCCTGAAGACGCTCCCTCTCCTACAGAGAGACAGATTATCATTATTATAGCAGTCCTTCTGAAGACGCTTCAACTCTCCTACACAGAGACAGATTATCATTATTATAGCAGTCCTCCTGAAGACGCTCCCTCTCCTACAGAGAGACAGATTATCATTATTATAGCAGTCCTCCTGAAGACGCTTCAACTCTCCTACAGAGAGACAGATTATCATTATTATAGCAGTCCTTCTGAAGACGGTCCCTCTCCTACAGAGAGACAGATTATCATTATTATAGCAGTCCTCCTGAAGACGGTCCCTCTCCTACAGAGAGACAGATTATCATTATTATAGCAGTCCTTCTGAAGACGCTCCAACTCTCCTACAGAGAGACAGATTATCATTATTATAGCAGTCCTCCTGAAGACGGTCCCTCTCCTACAGAGAGACAGATTATCATTATTATAGCAGTCCTCCTGAAGACGGTCCCTCTCCTACAGAGAGACAGATTATCATTATTATAGCAGTCCTTCTGAAGACGCTCCAACTCTCTGATTTCAAAACAGTGGCAACTTTAATGCTGCAAGGATGTGATCACAAAGAAGTGGATTTTTCGCTGGGGTATAGAGAGAGATGTCAGTTTCAATTCCATATGATGGAGGATAATGTAAGAGCAAACTTCAATTCCTGAGGAATTGATCAGGAAAACCCATATGGCTCTGCTATTGGAAGGGTTAGTGGTTAGCGTGGTATCGTACCTTGTAGCTGGTGGGCTCTCTGCTGGTGCTGGCTCTGCTGTTGGAAGGGTTAGTGGTTAGCGTGGTGTCGTACCTTGTAGCTGGTGGGCTCTCTGCTGGTGCTGGCTCTGCTGCAGGAAGGTGGCCTGCAGGGAGTTGATCTCCTGTTCGTATTTTGCCGCAGCCTGCCGCCACTTCTCCAGCTCGGCCGTGACACCTCCCAGGTCCCTCTGCAGGGCGGCGATGTCGCGCTCCCTCTCGGCCGTGGCGGCCTCCATGGCGTGGCGGAGGACTAGCACCTCCTCCTGAGCCGAGTACAGCTCCTCCCACGTGCTGCTGCTGCTCTCTCTCTGCTCCTTCAACTCCTCCATGTCCCCTGCTAGCTTCCCCAACTGGCCTGGGAACATATAGTAAATACAATATATAACCTCGCTTCCCCAACTAGCCTGGGAACATATAGTAAATACAATATATAACCTCGCTTCCCCAACTGGCCTGGGAACATATAGTATATATAACCTCGCTTCCCCAACTGGCCTGGGAACATATAGTAAATACAATATATAACCTCGCTTCCCCAACTAGCCTGGGAACATATAGTAAATACAATATATAACCTCGCTTCCCCAACTGGCCTGGGAACATATAGTATATACAATATATAACCTCGCTTCCCCAACTGGCCTGGGAACATATAGTAAATACAATATATAACCTCGCTTCCCCAACTGGCCTGGGAAACATATAGTATATACAATATATAACCTCGCTTCCCCAACTGGCCTGGGAACATATAGTATATACAATATATAACCTCGCTTCCCCAACTAGCCTGGGAACATATAGTAAATACAATATATAACCTCGCTTCCCCAACTGGCCTGGGGAACATATAGTATATATAACCTCGCTTCCCCAACTGGCCTGGGAACATATAGTATATACAATATATAACCTCGCTTCCCCAACTGGCCTGGGAACATATAGTATATACAATATATAACCTCGCTTCCCCAACTGGCCTGGGAACTATAGTATATACAAATATATAACCTCGCTTCCCCAACTGGCCTGGGAACATATAGTATATACAATATATAACCTCGCTTCCCCAACTGGCCTGGGAACATATAGTATATACAATATATAACCTCGCTTTCCCCAACTGGCCTGGGAAACATATAGTATATACAATATATAACCTCGCTTCCCCAACTGGCCTGGGAAACATATAGTATATATAAACCTCGCTTCCCCAACTGGCCTGGGAACATATAGTATATACAATATATAACCTCGCTTCCCCAACTGGCCTGGGAACATATAGTATATACAATATATAACCTCACTTCCCCAACTAGCCTGGGAACATATAGTAGATATATAACCTCGCTTCCCCAAACTGGCCTGGGAACATATAGTATATACAATATATAACCTCGCTTCCCCAACTGGCCTGGGAACATATAGTAAATACAATATATAACCTCGCTTCCCCAACTGGCCTGGGAACCATATAGTATATATAACTCGCTTCCCCAAACTGGCCTGGGAACATATAGTATATACAATATATAACCTCGCTTCCCCAACTAGCCTGGGAACATATAGTATATAAACCTCGCTTCCCCAACTGGCCTGGGAACATATAGTATATACAATATATAACCTCGCTTCCCCAACTGGCCTGGGAACATATAGTATATACAATATATAACCTCGCTTCCCCCAACTGGCCTGGGAACATATAGTAAATACAATATATAACCTCGCTTCCCCAACTGGCCTGGGAACATATAGTATATATAACCTCGCTTCCCCAACTGGCCTGGGAACATATAGTATATACAATATATAACCTCGCTTCCCCAACTGGCCTGGGAACATATAGTAAATACAATATATAACCTCGCTTCCCCAACTGGCCTGGGAACATATAGTATATATAACCTCGCTTCCCCAACTGGCCTGGGAACATATAGTATATACAATATATAACCTCGCTTCCCCAACTGGCCTGGGAACATATAGTATATACAATATATAACAATATTAACTTGCTTCCCCAACTAGCCTGGGAAACATATAGTATATACAATATATAACCTCGCTTCCCCAACTGGCCTGGGAACATATAGTATATACAATATATAACCTCGCTTCCCCAAACTGGCCTGGGAACATATAGTATATACAATATATAACCTCGTCTTCCCCAACTGGCCTGGGAACATATAGTAAATACAATATATAACCTCGCTTCCCAACTGGCCTGGGAACATATAGTATATATAACCTCGCTTCCCCAACTGGCCTGGGAACATATAGTATATACAATATATAACCTCGCTTCCCCAACTGGCCTGGGAACATATAGTAAATACAATATATAACCTCGCTTCCCCAACTGGCCTGGGAACATATAGTAAATACAATATATAACCTCGCTTCCCCAACTGGCCTGGGAACATATAGTATATACAATATATAACCTCGCTTCCCCAACTGGCCTGGGAACATATAGTAAATACATATATAACCTCGCTTCCCCAACTGGCCTGGGAACATATAGTATATACAATATATAACCTCGCTTCCCCAACTGGCCTGGGAACATATAGTATATACAATATATAACCTCGCTTCCCCAACTGGCCTGGGAACATATAGTAAATACAATATATAACCTCGCTTCCCCAACTGGCCTGGGAACATATAGTATATACAATATATAACCTCGCTTCCCCAACTGGCCTGGGAACATATAGTATATACAATATATAACCTCGCTTCCCCAACTGGCCTGGGAACATATAGTATATACAATATATAACCTTGCTTCCCCAACTAGCCTGGGAACATATGGTATATACAGTCATGTACACTATATAATATACAGTGCTATGAAAAAGTATTTGCCCCCTTTCTAATTTTCTCGACTTTTGCATATTTGTGATACTGAATGTTATCAGATCTTCAACCAAAACCTAATATTAGATAAAGGGAACATAAGTGAACAAATAACACAACAATTACATATTTATTTCATAAACAAAGTTATGCAACACCCAATTCCCCTGTGTGAAAAAGTAATTGCCCCCTTACACTCAATAACTGGTTGTGCCACATTTAGCTGCAATGACTCCAACCAAATGCTTCCTGTAGTTGTTGATCAGTCTCTCACGTCGCTGTGGAGGAATTTTGGGCCCACCCTTCCATGCAGAACTGCTTTAACTCAGTGACGTGTGGGTTTTCAAGCATGAACTGCTCATTTCAAATCCTGCCACAACATCTCAATTGGGATTAGGTCTGGACTTTGACTAGGCAATTCCAAAACGTCCAATTTGTTGCTTTTTAGCTATTTTCATGTAGACTTGATTGTGTGTTTTGGATCATTGTCTTGCTGCATGACCCAGCTGCGCTTCAGCTTCAGCTCACAGACGGATGGTCTGACATTCTCCTGTAGAATTCTCTGATACAGAGCAGAATTCATGGTTCCTTCTATTAAGGCAAGTCGTCCAGGTCCTGAGGCAGCAAAGCATCCCCAAACCATCACTCCACCACCACCACCATGCTTGATCTTTGGTATGATGTTCTTACTGTGGAATGCAGTGTTTGGTTTTCGCCAGGCATAATGGGACCCATCTCGTCCATAATTGTTGTGTTATTTGTCCACTTATGTTCCCTTTATCTAAAATTAGGTTTTGGTTGAAGATCTGATAACATTCAGTATCACAAATATGCAAAAGTAGAGAAAATTAGAAAGGGGGCAAATACTTTTTTTCATAGCACTGTATAACCTCACTTCTCCAACTGGCCTGGGAACAATCATGTAATGTAGACAATAATATATATGGGCTGTAAGACGCGGGTTGCCATACACAAGGTTGCTGGTTTGATTCCCACCCCAACCCTAAACTTAACCAATCACGTTTGCACATCTGCCATAAGGGGGTGGGGGGTGGGGGGACAACTGTCTGTTTGTTAGTTACTATACGCACTCTGTCAGTAATGTATCTGGATGGTATAGTAATATAAAGTAATGTATCGTATAGTAATGTAAAGTATGGTAATGTAATGTATGGTATAGTAATGTAAAGTATGGTAATGTAAGGTATGGTATAGTAATGTAATGTAAAGTAATGTATGGTATATTAATGTAAAGTATGGTATAGTAATATAAAGTAATGTATCGTATGGTAATGTAAGGTATGGTATAGTAATGTAAAGTACAGTGGGGGGAAAAAAGTATTTAGTCAGCCACCAATTGTGCAAGTTCTCCCACTTAAAAAGATGAGAGGCCTGTAATTTTCATCATAGGTACACGTCAACTATGACAGACAAAATGAAAAAAAAAAAATCCAGAAAATCACATTGTAGGATTTTTAATGAATTTATTTGCAAATTATGGTGGAAAATAAGTATTTGGTCAATAACAAAAGTTTGTTGGCAATGACACAGGTCAAACGTTTTCTGTAAGTCTTTACAATGTTTTCACACACTGTTGCTGGTATTTTGGCCCATTCCTCCATGCAGATCTCCTCTAGAGCAGTGATGTTTTGGGGCTGTCGCTGGGCAACACGGACTTTCAACTCCCTCCAAAGATTTTCTATGGGGTTGAGATCTGGAGACTGGCTAGGCCACTCCAGGACCTTGAAATGCTTCTTACGAAGCCACTCCTTCGTTGCCCGGGCGGTGTGTTTGGGATCATTGTCATGCTGAAAGACCCAGCCACGTTTCATCTTCAATGCCCTTGCTGATGGAAGGAGGTTTTCACTCAAAATCTCACGATACATGGCCATTCATTCTTTCCTTTACACGGATCAGTCGTCCTGGTCCCTTTGCAGAAAAACAGCCCCAAAGCATGATGTTTCCACCCCCATGCTTCACAGTAGGTATGGTGTTCTTTGGATGCAACTCAGCATTCTTTGTCCTCCAAACACGACGAGTTGAGTTTTTACCAAAAAGTTATATTTTGGTTTCATCTGACCATATGACATTCTCCCAATCCTCTTCTGGATCATCCAAATGCACTCTAGCAAACTTCAGACGGGCCTGGACATGTACTGGCTTAAGCAGGGGGACACGTCTGGCACTGCAGGATTTGAGTCCCTGGCGGAGTAGTGTGTTACTGATGGTAGGCTTTGTTACTTTGGTCCCAGCTCTCTGCAGGTCATTCACTAGGTCCCCCCGTGTGGTTCTGGGATTCTTGTGATCATTTTGACCCCACGGGGTGAGATCTTGCGTGGAGCCCCAGATCGAGGGAGATTATCAGTGGTCTTGTATGTCTTCCATTTCCTAATAATTGCTCCCACAGTTGATTTCTTCAAACCAAGCTGCTTACCTATTGCAGATTCAGTCTTCCCAGCCTGGTGCAGGTCTACAATTTTGTTTCTGGTGTCCTTTG